CTGTCACATAGGTGAAAATAGTCTCAGTGCTCACTGTAACTCCTGGCATTCCTAAAATGGTACCACAAGCTTTGCACTAACTGATTTCTGCTCATCCTAGAGTCTAGAATGGTATGAGCATGTGGAAATCAAAACTGTATAGTAAAAATAAACTTTTTTAACATGAAGGGATATAGCTAGCAGTCGACAGTGTGACACAACCAGATTAAGGGGCTCAGAAATGAAATGGCACATCAGAAGAATAAGCATCAAAAGAAATCCAAATGTTTTAAAGTAAACATAATGTTTTTTAGACATCTGCTGTGGCAATGATGAAAGCCATGAATTTTTCTATTTCCTGAGTTATGTTAGAAAAGGACTCAGCAGGCTGGATAGCATTTTATGCCAGATTTTTTGCTAATGGGAATTCTTTGTTCCTTCAGTGTTTGGTTTTTTCCACACAACATTACTGAAGTGGTAACAGAGAAAATACTGTTATTGATCATACTGTGGCTTGATGATTCCTCAGTGGTACACAAGGAGGAAGATTTTACTCATAACTGGATTGCTTTGCTAGAGCAAAGAATGGATGGAGTAATTCTGTTATACTTCATAACCATTGCATCTAACAGAACTATTTAGTTCAAGAAAAGGTACTCTAAATGGCATTGCCTTCACAATCAAAGAGCAAGAAAGAGCAAGAGACCATTTTATGGATCTTCTTCACAGTTAATACAGAAGATGTTCCATGGCATTTTTGAACTTTTTTTTTTTTTTCAGCCAGTGGCTTCTAAAATTACCATAACTATGTACGAAAATGTATCTCTCTCTTCAGTTATCTCACCAAAACCTTTTACCATTTGTGATTTACTTTCTTCAGCATTTTATCTGCTTCTTCAGAGGGAAGGCAGTCATCATGTTGTTTGTACAGTGCCTGGTGCAATGGGCTCCTGAAGTCTATTTACGATCCTTATGAGGTGGTGCAATAGAAATAATAAACATTTCACTTTAACAGTAGGAAACACTGTATATGAAAACTAGTTGAAGAATAGAGGTCTTGTAGTATCGAAATCCAGGTGGTTTTTTTGTTTGTTTGTTTGCTTGTTTGTTTTTCCATAGAATGGGAAGGAAAACTAAAAGATTTTCTGTCTCTAACTTCTGCGTGTTACATTTTTGTAACATTGTTCAATTCTCATAATTGCCGTTCATAATTTGTTATTCTATTTACCTCAAGCTGATGTAAGATAATTGCCAAATAGGTGTTTCTGTCTAAGAATTCTAATAGAGTGTGGCAATTATGGGAGTACGGTGTGAAGCCAGTTTTCTAGAACAAGATGCCATAATGTATAACTGGTAATAATAATCCCCAAAGCACAATCATTTTAAGCCACTGGTATCGTGCTTCCTTTTACAGAGGAAGGATTATTTAAGTTGTAACAACTTGAACACAGAACCAGTACATAAGTCACAGTACTTATAAAGAAGCACAGCAAGTCTATAAACCCAAAAACTGAAATTGCCAGTGAAATTCTCAATTACAGTGAAGACTTTTCAGCAGTACAGTGTTTTGTATCATGGCTGCAACGTTGGTTCCAATGCTTGTAATGCTGGCAAATGAACCTGAATTGAAGCCACAGTTTAGATAAACAATTCCAAGTGATCCCCCAAGAGTGTTTTCACACAACTGATCTCACAACCTGAATGTGAGTTTCTTCAGATGCCTGGTTTACCTTTCCCTGGCATCTGTGCAAAACTGTGGAAGGTGGAACTGTGGATCTATGTCTCCAAGGCAAGGAATGACTTTTCTACCCTTCCTACTATTTTTTTTTTTTTCTGTAATTACAATTGACATAGATTGTTATATTCCTATAAATTACTTAAATATAAAGCTATTACGTCTTGTTATTATTATAGTAAGAGTTGTGGCCACACAAAATATCCAGAAAATTCTGTACATGCATATAATGAGTAAAGAGCCTTTACTTAAGCAATGGTAAAACTATTTTCCAATAGAAAGATTAGTTAGACCTGAATTTGCAAGATGAAAGTGCTCAGCCTAGGTGACAAACAAGTATGAAAAGCATTATTAAAAAGAACATTCTGACATAAAAAATTTTCATGTACTGAGAAAAATTATTATACAGGCAATTTTTTGCTTTAGAGATAAAACCGCCTGGATTATTCAATAATCATAAAACAGATTAATTACATGCTATTTTCACAGTTGTTCTTCTGGTCCTCATTTCTTCAAATTTTTTCACATTTTAAGTAGAAAAATCATCAGTATTATTATTTTCTTCTACTTCTTGGGTGAAGTAACAAATGAGATTTGAAATCCCACATTCCCACCAACAGGTGGAGCATGTATTTTATTTTTTCAATTACGATAACTGCAAATTCATTCAAAATGAAAAGACAAATACTTTATAGCTCACAAATTCAAAATGCCAGTGTTTCAGTTATGACTATGACCAATGACATTTTATTCTAATATTCCACTGCATGTAAACAATAACTTCTAATCCAGCTCCTTTTGTTACTGACACTAATTGCGATTCCCCATAAATTTTAATGACTCCAAAATTAAATCCATTTTCTTTTTTCATTTTTGTTGGCTCCACAGGTGTTCACAACATTTTTTTTTGTCTGACATGCACAAGTTTCAACTGTGATAAATTCTGATCTCAGTACAAGATTGAGCCCACATTCATAAAATATATTTATGTGGTTACAGTGTACTTACCTTCTTCTACTTTATTCTACACAGGACAACATCACAATACACTACAACGGAGAAGGAATTAGAAAACAAGACAGATAAGCTGCTGAGGAAACTGAGATTTAGTCTGGAGAGGAGAAGTCTGAGGGTAGAACTCATCTCTCTCTGTCTGAAAGGTGAAAGCAGAGAGAAAGATGTTGGTCTCATTTCCCACGTGGTACATGATAGAACATAAGGAGATGGCCTTAGTTGCACAAAGGAAAGTTTAGACTGAACTTAGAAAGAACATTTTTAAAAGATAGGGTGATCAAATGTCGGAATGAGCTGCCCAAGGCAATGTGGTGGTTTCTCCATCCTTCAAGATATTTAAGAAACATACAGGGATGGCACTGAGGGACACAGTTTAGTGATGCAGCTGGGTAGCTCAGGTTGATGGTTGTTGGACTTGATACAGAAGGTCTTTTCCAAGCTAACTGATTCCATAATCTAAGCAGAACATGATACTGATGGCAAAAGCTGTGTCTAATGTATAGCTATTTTAAATTACATCCATTCTTTGCACTGAGCAAGGAATTACTTTTGGAACTCTTGAATGTTTCCATTTTCTCACACCTAGATGATTATCTTTGGCTTTTTAGGAACATTAGCTTTCTGGAAATATCTTTTAAGTGTTTTTGGGGTAACAGCAAACAACCATTGAAGCAAATTCAAAGGAGGGCCACAAGGATGATCAGAGGGCTGAAGCACCTCTTCTACAAAGACAGGCTAATAGAGATAGGGCTATTCAGCACAGAGAAGGCTCCAGGATAGCCTACAGCAGCCTTCCAGTACCTAAAGGGGACTAACAAGAAAGTTCTGGAGAGATTCTTTATCAAGGAGCATAGTGAACGGACAGGACCAATATCTTTAAAATGAAAGAACAAGTCTAAATTAGCTATTAGGTGGAAATTTATTCAGAGGGTAGTGTGGCACTGGAACAGATTGCCCAGAGATACTCCCTCCCTACAGGTTCAGGGTCAGGCTGGATGGAGCCCTGGCCAGCCTGCAGCCTAATCTGATGGGTAGCAAACCTGCCCACAGCAAGGGGCTGGGACCAGGTATCTCTAAGGTCCCTTCTAACCCATATAAGTCATGTGGTTCTGTCATTCTGTGACTTACACTGTTGTACTAATCACCAAGCATACTCCTAGAAAAGGAAAATGGAAGAAGACACCGTAACACTCGACAATTGGTTAAAAGCGTTGCGGAGAACAAAACTTCTTTAATTCACCGTGACTGACGTTACTGTGAGCACACAGCACGCCAGCAGCTCCCATCACCACTCGGGAATTCTGAGCTGAGCAGTGCTGGAAAATATTCAAAGCAGCATAAACGCAGACAACAATGCACACACAGCTCCGAAAATTACAGATCCTGACCCTAATCTCAAATCATTCCGCAGACAGACAGAACAGACAAGATCCACACACAGCTGCGCAACCACCGCGCTCAGCCACACCCCACAACAGCCCATCACCACCCGCACATGCGCACACGGAACACCTGCTGAACGCGGCCGTAGCGGGGCGCATGCGCAACCCTGCCCCGAGCCCCCACCGCCAACCAGGGCGCTGTGCGGGCACATGCGCCTGCAGGACAGGCCGCAGAGCGGAGAGGCGTTTCCTATTCCGGGTCAGCTCTCGCGTGCACTGTAAGAAACTGCAGCGATGCTTGCGTGCTGCTCGTGAGATTTCTTTTTCACAGCGGGAGAAAAAGAAGAGCCGGGTCAATCACCCCTCCCCCGCTTACCCTTCTTGTCCGCGCTTGCAGCTGCCGCGTGTGTGCAGCCGGGACTCCGTGCAGCGTGCTGAGGAGCGGCTGCGGGGCGGGGTTCCATCAGACCCCGCCTCGCTGTGGGACCTTGGGGATGTTTGGGCCTGAGGGCTGTAATGGTTGGGCTGGCCTTGGGGTGGAATGCTTTGCTGCGGTGGAAGGGGGTAGAATCTTTTAAGAATCAGTGGTGCTGCTTATGCCTGCCATTCCTGTTTTTTTAAATCTCTGCTTAGAGGAGCAGGTGACTTAGCAGTGAATTCTTGCTATGTGTGACACCACGAACCAAACAAGCAAGTCTTAATGAAGACATAAGTTGACAGTGATAGGACAAGGGGAAATGCTTTTAGACTAAGACAGAGGAGGTTTAAGTTAGATATTAGGAGGAAGTTTTTCGCATGGAGGGTGGTGACACACTAGAACAGGTTGTCCAAGGAGTCTGTGGATACCCCATCCCTGGAGGCATTCAAGGCCAGGCTGGATGTGGCTCTGGGCAGCCTGGTCTAGTGCTTGGTGACCCCACACATAGCAGGGGGTTGGAACTAGATGAGTATTGTGATCCTTTTCAACGCAGGCAATTCTATAATTAACTATATATTGTTAAAAAGTAAAGAAAGATTGAAAGTGAACAGTCATGGGATGGTTTTGTTTTGTTCAATGTTTTGGCAAACCCACCAAATGAGTCTCGCCCAGCTCCCACAGAGATGCGTTTATTACAGGCACTGTGTCCAATAGTGAAAACACCCGTGGGTAAAATCAAGCACTTGTGTAATGATTTGTAAATCATCTATTGGTTTGTAAACTCTGTGGAGTTTTGACATGTGTAAATTCACTGCAAATGCCAGAACTGTCTTCTTGGTGTTTCTCCAGTTCCGCCTGATGGCTGCTGCAGGAAAGGCTGCTTCTTTCCATCTGCCTCCTCTGCCAACGGTGGGGGAGATCATTAAGCTTTTTCGTCTTCGAGCGCAGAAAGAACTTTCCCAGAATTTTTTGCTGGACTTACGATTGACAGGTTAACTATTTTATTTTATACGCTTTTAGCTGTTATGAAGTACATACACATCTCAAGTTTTGTCAGAATCTGATTTTTGTCTAAGGAGATGATGTTTGCATGATGACATCTGTCAAATATACAACAGCATAGAGTCTCCTTTGAAAGCTGTTTTAGGTTAGACTTCTTGATTTTGTTTGTGCATTCCTAGAAAACATCTTTCTTTATAGAGTAAATTACAGGATATTTTTTAGATATATTCCTATATCAGTATCAATATCAGTAACAAAATATCAGTTCAGTGCGAAACTCCAAGCCTTAGTAGTACCATTTCCATTCAAGTACTGTCATTTAATAAGAACTGTCAAGAATTACCAAAGTGTTGACAAATTTGGCTAAGTTTCAGGTGAATTGAATTTATATATTTGATTCAAAAAGGATTTCCTTCAGATTATTATATATCACAAGTACTGTTGGTCCTACTGTCTTTCAATATACTATATACTGTACTTAGGAACATTGGTTGGGTCAGTCTGACAGAAATTTCGTAGCTTTTCAGACCTGTTACAGTTCAGTTTCCTGCAGCTTCATCTCAGCAGTGGCTGACAAAGATGGCAGTGTGCAATCCATAGCAGATTTTTTAGTTGTATGGTGGCTGGGTTTGACAGTAATCAGTGCAGTGTATCTTCATGTACCCAATGATTCAATTATACATTGTTACTCCAGCTGATATAGATTAGGAATGTGAATATAAAACTCTCTTCCCTCTTATGAATAGCCAGGTTCTTATGCTAGAGTAAAAATGTGTGAATGAGTTTAGTAAAACCTTAGAATAGAAGATTGTCAGAATCTCTTGTTTTTGTTACACATTTAGAAGACTTGTAGAGTGAACAGTATAGTTTCCCTCAGCATTCCAGTATAGGCTTCCTAAGAATCTCTGTTTCATTAGCTATGTTTTTAATCCTTACTTTAAGCCTTTTTCAATTGTTCTTTTTTTTTTTCCTGCTCATCTCTATTGACTTCCAGAGTTGTATCTTTCTATTCATGTACAGTAGTCTTGCTAGAGCTTCACTGTATCCTTATCCAGGTGTTCTGTAGTGATATACCTTTATAAAGATAAGTATTGAGACCCCAGGTTGTTGAGTGCTTACTTACAGTACTGCTGGTTTACAGATAAAAAAGTAATATTCTCCTTTTATTTGATTCTGTAATGAGCAACAATGTACATGAAAGACAGTAAACTGGAAGTAGCCTTTCTTTAAACAGTGGAACAGTAAAGCAGTATCTCTAGGCATGAAACAAATCTGAATTCTGTGCAGTCTAGCAGGCATGTGATTGTGTAAGTGGGATGTGTCACTGTTTGTGCCTATTCTGAGATAAACTCATTGTTTATTGTTAGAGTGCAAATGTGCTTATCTTAGTAAGCCGGATCCTTTGGAGAATAAAGGCTTAGTGTGTTCTTATTGTCTTGCAGACAAGATAGTGAGACAAGCTGGCAAGCTGAAAAATGCTTATGTCTGCGAAGTGGGCCCTGGGCCAGGAGGAATTACCAGGTCTATTCTCAATGCCGGTGTTCAACAACTCCTCTTGGTTGAAAAAGATACTCGATTTATTCCAGGATTGCAGGTATCAATGGCAGAATGATTCATATGAATGTATGCCTGAACATTTTAAGAACATGGAAAGATTCAAAGTGTCTTACTTAGATCAGCACGTTGAAAACAGTTTTGATACTTTGGCTCAAATTAGAGCTGTCATTTGCTTGAAATGAAAACATGTACTATGGCAATTAATTGATCCTGTCTTATCTTAACAAGTACTCCTTGTCTCTTTCTGACCTGATGCTGCAAATAAATAACAGTTGTTTGTTGGATGTTTCAAGTGCTTTAAAGAGGCTATTCATGAAATAGTAGTTTGAGTGTTGATGTTGTTTGATCTCATTTTTCATTTTAATCCTAATAATTTTGCCTTAAAGTTTAAAACATTCTGACCATATATCTCCAGTTAAAACAGTTCAGTGCGGGTTCTCATTCAGGTACAGAAGAATAAAATAAGAATAAAATAAGCATTTATTTCGTATCTTTCTTGATTTGTATAACAGAAAATGTCAGAAATTAAGTAAAAGTCCCCAGTTGTTATTTTATAAATGTCTTAGGTATTTATAAGATGCTGATATAAAGCATGCAGCAACACTGGCTGTTTTTTCGTCTGTGATCTCTATCACAAAGCTGAAGCTAGGATCTGCTACTGCAAAAATGGAAATACAGTGAAGAACATATGTGTTCAGAGTAACAGTTTACACAAGCTGAGAGTCTGTCAGTTCTGTCTCACTCTTAAAGAAACACAAACGCCCTATGCCATATGCCCTAATACTTGTTAGGCTGGAAAGATATATGAGGAGAGAGAAGGTGCTCTTAGTTAGAGAGTAGTTTGAATATGCAGTTCTTCCAGGGAGCGCACTTAGTTTTTGTGAACCATGCCTTTTGGTTTTTGTATTTTTACACCCTTTCCCTCGTGTGTGAAGAGCAAGAGGATCTGCATAATGGAAGATTACTCAGCTTGTGTACTTGGTGCATAAATGCTACTGGAACCAAGTTAGCTGCACACATTGGCCTTAAAGTGAAGAAAGCTTCAGTGACTTCCCTCAATTTCTGATTTCAAATTGAATGTATACAATTGTGATTTTCTGGTGTCAAATGCCTTTCTCAGTTATGTTAATTATAATACTAAATAAAACCCGCACTCCTTCTGACATGGAAACTAATATTAACAAACAGTAGAACATATTAATAATCCTTTGTGTAGGTGGGTCTTGGTTTCTTCTTCTACTGTTTTCTAAGTTCATTGATCTTACATCATCTTTCATCCGTTTACAGTACTTGGAATAGCTTCAAAGAAGAATTTGACAAATCATGGTAGATTAGTGAATTTGAATGCAATATAATTGCTAATGTAGTACATACTGAACATTTTTTACCAGTGCTTGCTTTTTGAAGGTAAATAGTTATTAAGTGTGCTCAGTTTTAATTGCTACTGTTTTTTGTATAATAAGGTATATAGCAGGGGTTTTTCTCATGCTGTGGATGATGCTGAAAATCAGAGTGGTTAATATTCACTGTGAATTCTATTTGCGTGTATACAAACAGATGCTGTCTGAAGCAGCTCCAGGAAAAGTACGCATTGTTCACGGAGATATTCTGACATATAAGATGGAGAAGGCTTTTCCAAATCACTTAAAGAAGAACTGGGAGGATGGTTAGTGTTTGGGCTTGTTTTGGTTTCATTTTAAAGCTTTTGAGTTGAAAATCTGAAATACTTGTAGATTTCAAAAATATACTTACCTGTGGCTGGTATTTGAGAAAAATCACAAATATCCGAGAAATATCCTAGCCTAGAAAGTGAATAATAAGTAAACTGTGCCTAAAACCCAGCTTGAATTTGATATTGTCATCTGCCATTCATGTAATTAAATGCTGCAGTATCTAAGAAACAACAACACTTTCTTCTGTCCACCTCTTCTGCAATACTTACTATGTGCTGTGTAACATTTCCATTGATGCAGTGCAGAATTGAACAGTACATATAACTTTGCATGGCTAAGGAGCTGTCTTGTGCTAGTTAGAAAGCTTTCTGATTTCATATATGGGTCTCTGTGCAGAGACCCATTTCATATATGGGTCTCTTTAATTTGAGCGAAGTTAGTTATGGCTCCCCTGAGTCTCCAAGCCCATGGGATGAAACGTGCTGGACAGAATAACATATGCCTATTTTCTCTGTATCTGATAGTCATAATTGAATGAAAACAGAAATATCTAAATTATGTATTTCTGCTGTTCTGGAGTAGCTCAGCTGAAATCTATCAATCAGCTGAAAATTGGCTGAAAGCTACTAATTTATTCTAATGTAAACAAGAATAAAACCTACCTTTTTTTTTTTTTTTTGCAACCAACTATCATAAACAGTAACAGTTTTGTCATTATAAGACAAGTATAAATAGAAAGGCATAAATTTAATGTGTCACAAAAACAAAAAATTGTTTTAATATTTTAATTCTAGATTGATAGGCTCATATGTTTGTTATGTAAATATTCTTTCATGGCAAATCTTATCCAAAACTTTTTGTCAGTTGTTTGTGTTTTTTTTGTTTTTTTTTTTCCAATCAAATGTGAGCAGAGCCACCAAATATTCATATCATTGGAAATCTACCCTTCAGTGTTTCAACTCCTCTAATCATCAAATGGCTTGAAAATGTTTCTAAAAGAGATGGACCTTTTATTTATGGAAGGACACAGATGACACTGACTTTTCAGAAGGAAGTTGCAGAGGTACTGTTACTGTTTTCCCTAAATTTTAATTAAAAAAAAAAAAAAAATATATATATATATATATATACATATATATGTATAAGGACAGTCTTAGTAGATACACAAAATACACTGGGAGAAAGAGAAATCCATTCCTTGAAATAAAGAAAAAATGCAAGTTTGGAAGATTTTAGCATTATTTCCAGTTTTGATTAAACAATTCAAACACAGGAATGGAATTCAAACACATTATGAATGGATTTCTGTCAGCCTTATGAAAGTATAAAAGCATCATTTGTGTTTTGTCACAAATTGAGGTTTTTAGCATCTCGATAGATTCTCAAAGAAGGCTGAATTGATTTGCTATGTTTTGGTGTTAAAACTAGGTAAATTAATATTAGGAGGATTTCACTCAGAATGCTTTCAGGCTTAACAGTTTATTTTTGTTGCCATGGCATAAAACATACCATGAATCTGGAGATCTGTTGTGATTCTGTGATTCTTACCTGAATCCCAGTTGCTGGGTTTTAGTGTTGTTTTTTTTCTGGTTTTCTTGTTGTTGATTTTGTTGTTTTTAAAGAGAGGAACTGTGCGTTGGTCTGAATAACACATCGTACATGTTAGAGGATGATCTGCAGGAGATGAGCTGTGCAGAAAAGGACCTGGATGTCCTGCTAGACACCAGAATGGCCATGAGCCAGCAGTGTGCCCCTGTGGCCAAGAAGGCCACTGGTATCCTGGGGTGCATTAAAAAGAGCATGACCATGGTCAAGGGTGGTGGTCCTCCCCCTCTGCTCTGCTCTGCCCTGGTGAGGCCACGTTTAGATTACTCCGTCCACTTGTGGGCTCCCTAGTTCAGAAAAACAGGAATCTCCTAGAAGGAGCCCAGTGGAGCCACAAAGATAAAACAGGGCCTGGTGCATCTGCCATATGAGGTAAGACTGAATAGCTGGTTCTGTTCAGCCTTGGGAAAAGAAGACTGAGAGGAGATCTGATAAATGTATAGCAATATCTGGAGGGAGGTGGGAGACAAATAGATGAGGCTGGGCTCTTCTTGGTGGTGTGTAGCAATAGGGCAAGGAGTGATGGCCTAAGACTTGAACATAGGAAGTTTGGTGCTAACGTGTGGAAGAACTTATTTATGGTGAGTGTGACAGAGCACAGGAGCAGGTTGCCCAAAGAGGTTGTGGATACTCCTTCTCTGGAGATATTCAAGACCTGTCTGGATGCCTACCTGTGTGACCTATTGTAGGGAACCTGCTTTAGCAGAGGGCTGGGCTTGATGATCTCTTGAGGTCCTTTCCAACCTCTGCAATTCTGTGATTCTGTATCATTGAATTTCCATCTAATTAGCTGAGAATACGAAATAATGTTTCCCCTGTGCAACCTAAATGTATATGTTGCTTTAATTATGTTGTTTTAATTTTTATCTTTTACAATGAATATTATAAAAATAAAATTTTACTCAGTTTTTTACTGTATGCAGACAATTATTTATACATGCAAGTGGCATGTCTGCTGTCATTTTGCAGTCGTGGAAAACCAGTCTTTGCTGTTACTGCTTTAGCTCTGCAATCAAATTTCAAGAAAAGTACTGAAGTTGTTCCAGCAGATGGCTCTAGAGATCACAAGGGACAAACGTTTTTTATGACATGAGTAGGATTTTTTAATTCAGTTCTGAGTTTAGGCATTAAAAAATCCTGTTCTGTTTTCCAGAAGGACTTCATGTCGTCTGAGATTATACGTTGTTGTAAAATATGGCTAATGGACTAAGATAGAAAATGCAAGTGATGATTAATAATAAACAAAGACTTGTGACAGCAGTGAAAAAAGTGGCAGAGTGCTGAGATAAGTGGACTCTGTACTTTTTTGTAACCAGCTGCATATGCTGATGGTGACATGCAGATTATAGTGCTTCTGTACAACATAGCTCAAATGAGATGCAAAATGCCATGCACTCTTAAGTTATTTGTACTTAAAAAGCTAGGAAGTTAAAAACACTAGGAAGTGGAGTGGTATGTTCAAGACTGCACAATTAATCAGTGTTAATTGCTGTTGACTTTGCATTCTGGGACATCTTGATTCGTGTTTTTATGTTTATTCAAACACAGAGCTTCCTCTGATGCAGAAATTCCATAGTTCATGGTTTGTGTTTTCATAGTGAATGCTCATTTGGGATACACTATTTTGTTTTATGGTTAGGAGGAATGGTAATCTTTCTTGTGCCACTCTGAAGTAGCTTAACCATTGATATTTGGCAACTACAGGCCAAACTACAGGTATTCTGTACCTGCAAATACAGAACAGTTTAACACAGTAGAAAACTTAAAAAAATTTATTTATTGATATTTTATGTATCTGAAAGGAAAATTTCTTAATAGCTTGATATTCTCTCTGATCCTTTGAAGCTAAAAGCCTGAATACTGAATAAAGTGTTGGTTGTATATGTCACGAGTTCAGTGGAAGGATAACATGCTGTAATGGAACAGCCCTGTGTGCTTCGTAATTACTTCTGATAACTTGATGTTAATGGTGAGAAAATAAATCAGTGTACCAATCCGTAGTCAAAGTAGTTTGTGCTATTATATACAGGTAAAAAATACCTTTGCCACTTCTTGCTGGTGGTAATTTCCTGCTTTTCTATTTCTTTCTAATTGCTACACTGTCATGAGTTATGTTAGTATAGGCCTATTGCTACTAATTTCTCTATTCTGATACAATTTAAATTGATTAAAATTATTGATGAGAACCAGTAGTTATGATTTATATACTAAGTTTTAAGGCCTATTAAGGAGGATAAGACCAGATGTTCACAGATATAAAAATGATGCTTGGAAGTGTTGGGTGAATCATTTTGCCTCTACAGTTCATTTTTGTAAAATTGTTTGTTATTTTCTGGAAAAAATCTTTGCCAGAAATTCCTCAGTAATTCACCTCAGATTTGCCACTTAGGCTGGATACTTTCTGACCCGCTTATATTAAAATGAATCATAATCCAGTTTAAATGGAAGATCTTTGTCAGTGTCTAATTTTGAGTAAAACTGGCTACAAAGTGTAGTTCACCTGCTGCTCCACCAACACAATCTGTAGGCTGGGCCATATACTATTAGACATCTAGAAGATAGGAGTATTAGTGGAGCAGAATGCTTAATCTGTGTGTAACACTGCTGTCTATTTAGAAAGCTAGAAGGTGCTAAGAAATTGGAAAATAGTTCAGGTTTTTTAACTATGACCAAATGAAGACTTACTATGTTTTCTTAAGTTGTAAGATGTAAGTTAAGTTCTTAAGTTAAGATGTAAGTTGTTTATAAATACTAGCATTCTGAAAAAAATTGGCTTGTGTATTAGGATTGATTTGATAGTTGTAGAATCATAGAATGGCCCAGGTTGGAAGGTACCTCAAGGATCATGAATCTCCAACCCCCTGCCACATGTAGGGCCACCAACCCAGGGCCCCGGGCCCCATCCAACCTGGCCTTGAACACCTCTATGGGTGGAGCATCCACAGCCTCTCTGGGCAGCCTGTTCCAGCACCTCACCACTCTCTTGGTAAACAACTTCACCTTGATATCCAATGTAAACCTTCCCTCTTTGAGCTTAAAACCATTTCCCCTTATCCTGCCATTATCTACCCTTGTAAAGAGTTGATTCCCCTCCTGTTTGTAGGCTCCCTTTAGGTACTGAAAGGCTGCAGTGAGGTCACCCTGCAACCTTCTTTTCTCCAGGCTGAGCAAGCCCAGTTCCCTCAGCCTGTCTTTATAGGGAAGGGCTCCAGCCCTCTGCTTTGCCAGTTCTTAATTCTTTGTGTAGGTTGATTCCTGTGATGGATTTTGCAGATTGATTGATAATGGGCTTTTAATATATGCTTATGAAAAGCATGGCTTACTGAGGAACAAAACAAATAGTTGTCCCTGAGGAACATTGAGAGGAGTTGATAGTGAGCAACATTAAAAAGATGTCATGTACCACCTTGACTGTGTTCCATGTTATGTTCCAGAATCAGTGTTTTGATTCCTGCCTTGAAATTTTTGTAGAACTTAGATACAAAAATGTTGCCTAGTTAGCTGAACTTCTGACATGGTTGACTTACTGCAGTTTCAGATGCTATCCACATTTTAAAGGTAAATACAAAGAAAATTTTGAGAGCTAAGGGAGAAACAACCCAACTACCTAAATAGCTCAGGTTACAGAATTACTGTTCGTAGCATTTTTGCAAAGTGCCATACCCATGTATGCTCCTGCCAATGCGATTGAAGTAATTTGTTACTGCCCAGAGGTGGATGTTCTTAAGTTATTCCCTCCGTAAACTGAGAGGCAGGAACTAAGCCTGAGTCTTGTTTTCATGGAAAGTAGACTTGCTTGTTTGAATTGGCATTTGAAGAGCTGTAAGTGCTGTCCATTTTATTTCCATTGCAGAATTAAGGACGTGTGTATCTGATTGCTTTTTTTTTTTTGTTAGATTTTTTAATCAGTTTTGTTTTTTTTTGTTTTCTTTTTATTTATTTATTTTTAATAAGTTTTCTCTGAAGCAATAAAAGGTAGTTTGAAGAGCTCATGTAGGCTGAAAGAATCTCTGAGTTTGCTTTCTGAGAAATTGTTGGAAAGGATTTTATTTGTTCCATGCTGATACTTAAACTGCCTTTTAGGAGACTTGTTGGAAAAAGAGGGAAAAAAAAAATAAAAAAGAGAAAAACTTGAGCAATGGGTTTTGTTTTTCTGACATAGTTTGAGCAGTATTTTATCAGCATGAATTTCACATGAAGCTATGTAACGTACAGATGTTATTAGATATGTAAACTGCTCCTTTTTTAAAAAATTAAGGTAGTTGTAAATAAGATGAGAAATCTTCAAAATTCAGTTGTTACCTGTAACCATTTGAGAGATGTTTTACTGAGAGTTTTTTTGTTTGAGTCTTGTTTTTGCTAGCGAGACAAGCAGGTAGTGTTTCATGCCAGCTTATGAAAGTGTAGAAAACCTCTTTTGTCTGGGTGACTTTTTGATAACCTTTGTAAGAAATTCCATGGGAAAATTAGAGAGCTGCTAACTGAACTTTAAGTATTAAATGCTTGTATTGCTAGGTATCTAAACCTAAGTAGATTAGACAACCTTGCATACATAGTAAGCATGGATGAGTTTATAACAAAGAAATTTTGTTTAGTATCTGATTTTGAGTTTATGGAGCTTTAATTTTGGATAAAAAAAAGGAAAAAGAAAAAAAAGATCCACAAACAGTGGAAGGGAAGAATGTGAAAATATTATCAGCCAGCACTGTTTTGATTTGAATTCTGCAGTGACATTGGTTTAGTCTTCTCATGTTCCCATACAAAATTATGTTGACCTTTAGTAAGTTCTGCAGAAGTTCAAGGAGCTCCTTTCTGTGTGCTTTTGATTGAAGGACTGGGATTGTAAATTAGCATGATGTCATGATGAAATGATATTACATAGGATAATATAGTTCAAGACGATTCAGGCTTAAACTCTGATGTGTGCTCTTAAGAGTTAGTTGTTTTTTTTAATTTGTCCTTGATTATAGTGATAATCAAGCTTTTGTGTAATTGGCAGTTTTGTCCATTCAGTTTCACTAATTCACGTGTTTTGATTCTTCAACAGAGGCTTACTGCTAATACAGGAGGCAAGCAACGTAGCAGACTGTCCATCATGTCTCAGCATCTCTGCACTGTTGAGAACTGTTTTGTAATACCAGGCCAAGCCTTTGTTCCAAAGCCAGATGTAAGTTTTGTTATGTTCTTCTGATTTTATTGTTAACTTTTCAGTTAGGCACTCTGTCTGATTTTCAGGCAGGAAAGCAGTTGGGTCCTCAATTCAGCATCTCCACACTACTAAGTAGACTGTTTGTGGTATGCGTGAAAGTGAAACATCCATGGCTCAAGAGCATTCTTTTCTTTTTGGTTACTGAGAACTTGTGCTTTGATGTTCAAGTCTATTTGCATGATCACTGTAATTCTTTGGGTGTTTGTGGAATTTTAAATTTCGTGGCAGGATAGTTTGCTAGAATTGCAGCATCTTTGAAAAGCTAATTATTTTACAATTGCAGTTATAGACAGTTTAAAACTGCCTGGAAAATTTGTTGAGTCTTCTGAAACACCCTTATTAATAAAAGCTTTTCAAATGCCACTGATAACTATTTTTACCGTGTCTGTGGTCTGTGTATTTCACCTTACTCATCTTCAGCATTTTGAACTCCCTCATGTTTGCTGTACTACTTAGTCACCTACATCCCACTCCCTGTTTAAAAAAGTAACCATGTTTTCTCTATTTTGTCTGTTCTTTAGAGGAGAAAAGTGTCTTTACTATCCTCTTATTTCCTGCTACTATTTTTTGTTGTTTTAATAAATCCATTAGGATAACAGGAATCAAGAATGCAAAAATTAAACTGCATTTTGATCACAGATCTACCTTTTTTTCTTCTTTTTCTTTTTGTAAAAGTGTGTGCATGACAATAAGTAGGATCTGTTTGCCATGAGTGCACATGGACATTTACTTGCTCCTTCTGAGTTTCTCTTAAAATGGTTGGTTTGGCTCTTAAGTAAATCATCCTTTCCCTTTCTCACAGTCTCTCTGTGGGTTGTTTTATTCTTCAGTCATATCTCTCGAGAACCTATAGAAGGTTATTCTCTTTCTCTTATTATATTGAATTTTACAGGCTATGTCTGTGCATATTCTGATGACGATGTAGAATTCCTTTACTGTTTTTTTTTTTTAAACAAGTAACTGTCCAGACGTGTTGCACTATTATTTGTGACAACAAATCTTCACTATTGTGAAGAAAAACGGCCATTCATGTGACTTTTTTTTTTTGCTTTACATTTTTGTTTGCATTTGTTTGTATTTGTTTTGTGATTTTCTAGCCCTCCTTTTTTTTTTTTTTCCAATAATATTATCATATTATTAATCTGAATGTTAAGTATGTGAAGTATTGTACAATAAGACTAAAATTTGGATTTTGTGGATGTAGTATGAGAACATATTAGAGCTGCAGTGAAAAATATTGTGCCATCTGTGTCTCAGCGCTGGGTAGCTGTAACTGAAATTCCCATTTTCCTGTACTGAATAGGCTTCAATTGACTGAGAGGGAAAGATAACTCCATGAAGGTGTGACAACTGTCTGAGTGTAAGCAAATCCTATAATCAGTTGTTGCTTAGTTGAATAAGGACCTCACAAAAAGGCAGTACTGCTAAACTCAAACATGTAATTATTTAATATATTTATTTGATTTACAGCAAATACAAATTACATTGCAAGAGCAGATAATGCAAGCTTTTCAGGAAGACCTGACACCCGTTGCACTGTACTTTGTTTCCTTCTAACTCCTGTTGTAGCTTCATCTCCTGTTTTGTTTATTTATTTTGGACTGAAATGGTTTGAGGTGTCACTGTTGCTGATAGAACCTTTGCCTTCAAAGAAAGGTCTTGCAGGTGTTGTGAATAATGCAGCTGTGTACCTGCCTTTTGTTTCACAGGTATCCAAAGAAGTTCAGGTACTTCTGTGTAAAGTTTTAGAAAGAAAAATGTGTTGCTTATGTAATTGAAAAATACTTCATTTTGCTTGGAGTATGGAATTGTTACATTTTTCGTATGTATAAACATCTTTGGTTTCTGTTTTATGAATGTCAGTTTTCATTCACGTACGTTACCAGTGATCACAGCATAGTGTTGTGTCAGGCCCCAAAGAAAAGGTGGAGAAGAATGGTTTCTGGGAACGAGTTGTCTACCTCATTTGCTCAGTGAATGAATAATATTTTAACAATATCTATGAATACTGAGTCATAATGGGCTTCTGTTTTATGAACAAGATGGTGCTGCAAAGCATTCTGTCTTAATGATGAGCAAAAAGCCAAATTTTCTTTGCTTATGTCTCTGCAGTATTAAGTAACTGCTGATAAAAGTAGTAGGCATAGTACAAAAGAAGCTCCCTGATGAATAGATAAGAAACTTCAAATGGCTACGTAACACTAGTAATAAGAGCAAGATGAAGTTTGAAATTTCTTTCAGAGAATGCAGACAGTAGAATGAAGACTTTACATTATTGGATATAAAGCATTTGACTTTCTAAAACGCTGTAACAGAAGATTTTACTTTTTCCAACAAACATTAGATAGATAGATAACATTATGGGCTCTTTATACTGTTCTTGGAAATTTGGGATAATAAAACAAGAACTGAAAGTTGCATATAAATATACCAAATAAATAGCAGTTGGTTTTGTTTGAAGACTTGTCCAAAGTTGTAGCATTCCTGAATTTAAGGGTCTGCACCATATCCTCTTACCTGTGCTAACAAATGGGCATCAATTTGATTCCTGTTCAGTAAAATGTTTAAACAGGACATCTGCCAGTGAACATTGACAAACAAAATCAGTTTGTTGAAAGAAAAGGTTAAAGGATCTAAGATAAGCAATCAAATTAAAAGAGTTAACATATACATTTAAGTGTAATAGCATTCTCTTATCATTATTGTATATTACATTTTACACTAATAAGATATCTGGGACTGGGCCTGAAACATACCTTAGTGGAACAATTGAAAGCACCTGTAAAGTTCTTTTAGAAGGCCAAAAGCATTCAAAGCAATAAATGGTAGCTGAAGGCCAAATGCTTCTGGATTTCTCATGTAAAAAGATAAACAGTTTGTATCCCACATTACAGTTTTCATAGTCAGAGTTACATTTCAGTTGTACTGCTCCTCAAATCTAACACTTGTGATAGATTAGCAGCAATTGAAGAGTGCCCAATTGGCATTGCTTTAACAGTAATAAATGAAACCCACAGCAGGTGGCAGTTTAGGGGGTGAGAGATGATTTTGGCAGCATCTGAATGATACCACTGATTTTGCTTCCTAATATGTAAATCCTGTGCAGCTAAGGTTGGGAGTGCAGGTTTGTGTTATTGGTTTGGTGGTCTTCTTTTTTGTATTGGGCAATTTATTTCTTTTTTGCTTTTTATTGTTGTTGTTTAGGAAATCTAAATGTTACTATGACAATTTAGAACAAAAAATGAAAGGCAGATGTGTCCCTTACATAGAAATTGTTGAATTAAGCTTCTTGGACAGAGAATGGTTGCTTTTTTTCCTTGCATCATAATTAAAGAGAAAAAGGTAAAATACCATATAGAGCATTCTGTTACCAGTGGCCTGATTTCACTAAATTGAAGTGTCTTTGCTGTAACAAGCGATCAGTACATTAAATGTACTGTTGCTTGTGCTGAAATAATTTATTTTTCTTCAGTAAATCTTACTTGGAAAGTCAAAGAAAATGGTTTGAGATGTCAGTCAAAAAAGTACTCTTGCAGCAGACTCAGGGATTGCTTCGTAACTTGTTCTTTTTGCTGATATTGCTAAGAGGAAAATATCTTATGTAAATATAATTGCAGCCCAGATGTAAGAAAATTTAGGTGTTACACATTCTTTAAAATAATCAGAGTACACTTAGCATTAAAAAAAAAAAAAAGCCTCGATGGATAAAAACAATGGTATTTACACGTAGTCCTTCAGGTTGTAACCTGTATTGCTCTCCTGCAATGTGGGTGGGAGATGCTGCTGCTTTGGAGGATAAATCCATGCTCCTTGCTGCTTTTTAAAGCAGGAAGTACAGAAAATCGCACCTGCAACAAGCAGAAACCCTGCTGAAATGAATCCTATATAAACCGCTCCTCCTGGTTCGTGTTTACTGCTCTCTGGAATGGTCCGGTCCAGAAAATTGGAAATGATTTCTCTCGTGTACCAAGATGTTGGTACTAATCCAAAAATTCCTGCGAGAATGAAGCAGACTCCTCCAGCAAAACAAGTGTGACTTTTGCTGTCGGTGTCCCCTCCCAACTTTGTGCATTTCATTCCAACTGTAGTGATGCAGATCCCAAAGGTTGATAGGATGCAAGACAGTACCATGGTGGTTCGTGCAGTCTGGATGTAGATGGGGAGAGACAGAACGGAGTATTTCAGGGTGCAGCTGAACATCCCGGTGCTGTACCACGTGCAGTCCATCCACAGTCCTTGCATCTGCGTTATAGCCGTTATGATGTTGGAACCAACATCTGCATTTACCTTCCAGTTCGGTAGCAAGGTGGCTGCGATGTCTCCAAAAACGCCAAACAAAGCCAGCATAAAAGCAAAGAACTGCAGACCAGCTGATGCCATGCTTATCTGCTGTCCCCTTTTGTCTGCCCGCTTCTCTCTTGTAAATGCGTGTAACTGGGTGGTAGCTTCGTAGCCAAGGCTGTAGCTGGCTGTGGGATACAGAGGAGGGGGAGGAGAAGTACAGAGAGAAAGAAAAAGAAATCAACAAACAAAAAAAGCTTGCATTTAAAATCAGAGCTATGTGAATGAGTAACTGAACGTGACCCTGCAAGCAGATGAGAGCAGCTGAGCCACTGTATGCAAGGCACTTGGTCCTCAGTGATAACAAATGGACAGTGTTTTAGCATTGCCTGTGAGGGGGAGCTACTCTGCCATACGTGATTGCAAGCTACCAAACAAAACATGGTTTACCAGAGTGGTGTTCAGTGGTAGTATCAGATTACAGGCTTACTGACAACTACACATTGTAAGTGGGACATTAGAAACTTGCAGATTATCAGCCATTGTGGAAAAATATTGTTGTGGAAAAATATTGTGGTGAAAGATATGTTGTACGCTCAGCATTCCTTCCGTAAGCATGTTGATGACTGTAGCTGTCGCTCCTGTTGACAGTTTTTTAGCGAAGAGCACTGATGATCATATCTGTCACTTATAGTTCCAAGCAACCCTTTATTTCAGTTCTTTAAATACTTGTGTTCTTTTCTTTGCTTTAATAACTTTTCTTTAATAATTTTTTTTTAAAGGAAAGTGAAATGGTGCTCAGTTTTGCTGTATTTTCGCAATTAAGTCATATCAGAACATATCAGAATAACTTATTCATTTTCACTTAAGTGATTCTCAGTCCTCAACATAGACAAGCAGTCTTAGCAAATCTGTCTTAGGAATGAATATGATGTGCTTTTGTCTATAAAGTGAAATACTATTTTTAATACTCATATGGCACTACTTAGTTGTGTAACAGCATTTTTTTTAAATCAGAAACCTATCTGAAATAATCTGCAAATTTGTCTCACGGTGGCACTTCATAAAATTGGTTAAAAAGCAGAAATGCTGTTCTTGTTTTAAAGGCTGAATTTCACATAGTAGATTAGAACATGTAGTTGTTAGGAAGCACCTGTGAAGATAGAATTGTTGCTGTTACAGCAGTGGGACAGTTGAGATAGCAGAGACAGAAGAACAGTTTGAAACTTGTGATGAGGATTAGAAAAGATGTCCTGCATTTAGACTGGGGCTGGATAGTAGGCAGTTCTTGTTTTCTACCACTATGGTAAAGAAAGGGCAGTCCTTGCATTTCCTCAGACGTTCTGGCTGAATATGAACAGTAATATTGGATTTGGTCTTTAGCAATGAACATTTTTGAAAAGTCGTAATAATAGTGGATACAGTTGAAATGAGTGGTGCACAAAATAACTGTAGCATTGTAAGCTTATTTCATATTTTTATGTGTAAGACAGCAAGCTTTTGATCAGTATGTCATTAGTGGCATTACATATCAAGTAATTCTCTAATTCTGTAGTATAGGATTACTCATAAGCTAGAATTTATATATTGAACTTAATTCAGGTAATTTTTCAAGTATGTGCTCTGTCCAGCATAAATGTATGTATATATCAAATGATTATATTTCAGGTGAATATGATAACAGCTAACCTATTTAAAAACCTTATTTCCAAGTCTTGCCTATTTCGAAATTCTGTCATTTTGTTCAGACTGTGAAGAGCTCCTTTGGCAAATACGTATCTTTCTTTTTGTATCGGGCCCACGGGAAAGATGGCTTATCTTCCTTTTGCAGAAGGAACTGACATTTTCCTGATAGCTCAGAAGTCATTCAGAATCTTCTGGAAGCTCTCACTAGGACCTAGAGTTAGCCTTTTTATTGTTTCATTTTTAACATTTCAGCTACAGCATGCACACACAAACCCAAAGCACTGCAAATGGTAGTCACGCTTTATAATTAATGGGATGAACTGAATTAAAGGTATGATAAATTCAAGTATAAGCACTGAAAGTGTAATAGAAGATACAGTTATCATGCATTCCTGTTCATGTAACACTTACTGCTGGTTGTGAGATCTGAGATGTTTTCTTCACTGTCGATGTCCTCAAAAAATAGGGTTTCACCTGAATGGGACTGTCCCTTCTCATATAAAACTGCATTGGCATTCATTAACAAAATTTCTTGGAGTGTTGTTTTTTCTCTTCTCTACAGCAAGTGCTGTACTGTTGTTTGTTCCCTCTCTTAGTTCCATCTACCAGAGAATAAAGGAGTACTTTGTTTAATGAGTTTTGTTTGACAAACACTTAGAAAGGGAAAGCAAAGAGATTATAGAGAAAAATACGTGGAGGCTCTTAGTGCTAAATGCATAACAATATCCAACTGCTTTGATTAAAGCTGCCAACAGGGATTAAAAGGAAAGAATAAAATCATAAAAATCCAAAAACTCTATAGACTTACGAATTTGGGCTGGATATGATTCATTTAAGTTGATCTGGGAGCTGTAGAGCTGTTTTCTCTCATTATTTTTTTTTCTTCATTTTTTCATCACATGTAATCTTATTATGAGTTTAAACTTCCTAGGAAAGAACTATGCAATGTATTTTAATTTCTAATTGGAACAGCAGCACATTTCTCTTCAGCTACAGGTTTTGCTTGTCTGTCCTTGGTAGCTTTCGCCTTCCGTAGGACATCCTTTACTCTTTAGCTTTCCATTATATATAAAAGAATGAAGGGATAAAGCTGCTCTAAAGCTTATATGATAATTGCAGCGTATTGGTGAAATGGCCTCAACAAGTCAGGGTAAGAAATCATGAAGCTGGGAGAAAAGCCTTTCTGATTGTCACAGTGATATAACCATAGCTTTTGGTTCTGAGTTGTAGTTTCGCATGTCCACATCTGTGTTTCAAAAGATTCTTGGAGAGTAGAATTGTTTTATTTTCATTTGCCAGTGAAGAATGTTCTACATCCTCAGGTTTGTCTCTGTAAATATCTGGTCAGTTGTCACATCCAAGAGAAGTTTCTCTGTTCCCAGATAAGCACAGGTGTGATGATTCAGGAGCTGCAGTATGAGCTGATGTAATGGGTGAACACTGGTACAATGTATTCAGTTGTTCTTAAGGATTTTTCTGCTTGTCAGGAGCTTTCTACAGTGCTGAGCAAACTGATATGAGCTGCTGTAAATATCAAAATTAGTGGATAACGCATGCAGAAATGCACACAATGTCTCATACATTTGGAATGCTTTGGAGCAGAGAATGCGTGGTCCACAGCATGATTTCGTTAGGCTCTTGGAAGGCATTTGTGGTGCCCTCACAACACTCTTGAAAGAGACCGTTGCAGAGTAAAGAGGAAAGGTAAAGAGGAAAGGTCTCATCAGGGAGAAATGGTTGGCTAGAAGATTAGGTATGAGTAGATAGATAGAAATAAATGGTCAGTGGAATTGTACAGCAAATCTAAGCAAATGCTTGTGCTGTGTAGCCTAAAGAGTCTGGAAAAAATGTGAAGATGTAAGATTTTTTGCTCACAAAAATCATGAGAGTAGTAAAGATGGGGTTTAACTTTGAAAAATTGTAAAGGGACCTTTATAGTGCTACTGATTGGATGATAAAATAGCAAATGAATGAAGCTTTAATGCATAGGACGTGACAGGCAAGGGGAAGAGCACTGCTCACGTGTGTGCAGTAGCTGTCTCTGAATTCATCAACCTGAAATGAGGTTTTATAGGAAAGTTCACTGTGTTGCTTTAAAAAGCCTCATCTTAGTGACTCTTCGCTCCATCAAAAAAAAAGTGGTGAGTAAAGTAGTCAGATTATGAGTCATCCAGTGCCTCTTCGTTCTGGAGCAATGCTCCTTGTGAGGAGATCTGTGTTAAAGAACTGAGAACTATCCTTGGGAAGGAAGCTCATCTTTTCCAGTATGGTAATAAGAAGTTGTATATAATTGCTCTTAGTGCTGTGCCACAGTTATTTTCTGCTGGAGGGAAAACCAAAGTGAAACCTTCACATCAGAATAAGGGGCTGTGTGATCAGCATACCTGGTGTGAGACTGAATGCTTGCCTGTAGCATACAGACACAGAGCTGGTGCTGAATGCTTGGCTGATAGAGGAGCTGCCTTAGAACTATCTTATTAGGAACTCAGACAGTCCACTTTAATGAAGTGTAATATGTTCTGCTTAGGTTTCAGCTCCCTGCAGGAGAAAATTACAGCTTGGAAAAAGATACATGGGTTTGCTTTTAATACAGGCTTATTGCAAGATACATGTATTACCTATCGTGAGACTTCTGTTGCTAACAGTTAGCTATAATTGTCTCATGTAGGCTCATCTGATTTAGAGCATTGATTTCATCAACAAGGCAACAGACTGAATTACATTGTACTTTGTCACGTGTTCCTCCTGCCTTACTAGAGCATAAACCTTCTTTGTACTTGAATGCTAAAACAGTAAGGGGAGAATAATTGTTACACTATTGACAGTTCAGGATATATCGGTAGGATAATTTTCATATTCATTATTTTATTAGAATTGAGTATTATTTTGAAAATAGTGGTGGGGCAAAAAAAAGAAAGTGTTAGAAATAAAATGATCCTCAGATTAACTTTTGCGTTCTAAGTACTCTTGTGTACTCTGTATTGATTTTCATAATTCTACTCTCTTTTTAATGCGTATTTAAAAGGTTAGCAACAAATAGCTTGGATAATTTTTAAGGAGTGGCCAATTAGAAGTGAAAAGCTTTCCCTGTATCTGTCACTATAGTAACCAGGCAGCTTTCCTGGGGTCCAAATAAATCAGTGTCTGTAATGGAACAAACGCTGAGGAGTGCTGTTTTCTTTCAGAAGCAGAAATTATTGCCTTCCAGCCTCTAGATAGCAAGTTGAGCTGGATTTTTTTTTTCCCCTGAATTTTACACTGTGTTTTTTTTTCTTATCCTTCAGAATTTTATGGTCAAAAATGCAGGTGTCGGGGATCGAAATGTATTGTATTTCTTGACAAAAGCGTAGATAAGTATACATGCATGTAAATAAGTCTTTGGTATTTCTGTGCATGGAGGTGGTTGGTCATGCAAAGGATGTATTTACCCTGTTCAAAAACCTGAAGTGTTCTGACGTTCAGTGTGAGCACAAGTTTTCATTGTGTGCTTGTGCTCTTCCTTACAAGTAGGGGGCTGTGGCAAGTCTAGAAGCCCATGAGAAATTCAGAAACTATTTTTGAGATATGTGCTAATCTCCACAGATTCTGTATACCAGGTTTTTATTTGTTATCTCACTTCTAAATAAGCTCTCGTGACATTTTTTAAGCATTTTTATATTTTAGTCATTAAAGCAGTTTTTCTATCTTAGTCTTGCAAAAAAGTCTAGCTTACAGAAAAAGTGGAAAAGAAAAAAAAAAGGTATATTTCAGGGTGTTTTTATATGATGTAACTATAACTGCATGACATATTGTGTTTTTTATATGTACATCTGTGTATACTGAAGGCAGGATGTTACTTCAGTCTGTTTTCAGACACAAGGGAAGTGGCAGGTCTGTGAACCAAGCTGATATAGGAACTACAAGAGAAAATAACAAATGTGAAAGAGATCTGTGTAGAAACATTCAAATGTAATTTTGGATTAACGGTGATGGTACACAGAGTATGAGTTCATAATTGACTCTGAACACAGAGTTCAACTGTCACTTAAATTGAATGCAGACTTATTTTGATCTGCAATTCCTTTGAATAGATATGAGTTTTAAAATCTTAATATACTGGAAAGTAACTCCTTGGCTCTCATTTTGCCAAAGCCCTAGAGCAACAGAAAATATATGGGGAATAGCTTTGATTTCTAATTATAATACCAATTTTCTCCTGCTGCCCTTCAGCCTGTATATTGAATATTGTCTAATTTGTGTATCATGTCAGAATTGTCTTGTGGAAGGATCTGAAGAAAGAAGTGCTAATTACTTTACGGATGACATGGAAGTTGTGCTGGATGAAGAAAGTGCCATGGGGAAAAAAGCACTAAGTACTAATGGTGTGTGAGCTAATTAGAAATATGTAGATAACCAAGGAAGACTAAAATACTCCAGGGCTTTGAAAGTTAAGCCAAATCAAGTACTGGGGCAGTGGTTTATCACACAGCTGTTACCTGTCACAGTGTTTCCTTGTATTGTCCCTGTTTCTTGACACCTAACCTGCAAACTGTAAAGAAGTACCGTGTCTCAGAGGAATGAATCTGCTCAGGTATCTTGATGTTTTGTTTTTCCTTACAGGTGGATGTGGCAGTGGTGCATTTCACTCCATTGGTGCAACCAAAGATACAGCAGCCGTTTGAGCTAGTAGAAAAAGTGGTTAAAAGTGTTTTTCAATTCAGAAGAAAATACTGCTGCCGCGGAATCCAGTAAGGAACTTGAAGGAAAAATCCTCTATTTTTTGTTTTTATTCACTCTATTTAAATATGCTATTCAATGTTCATCAGATCTTTCAGTTTCAGAACAGAGACAAAATTATGAGCTGAATGCCTCTCTGTTTTTGTTAAATAATAATTACTGTGAATTTTTGTTAGTGTAATTGAAGCTGTTAAAATTACTGGGATAAATTGGTGATCTTTCCAATTTGTATCTCTCCAATAATTGAACAAAATAACAACAAGAACAAAAGCAACTGAAAATCAATAGCATTTGTTGGTTGAGTTAAAAAATGAAAGTCTCAGAATTCTTAACTGACGATTGCAGTCCGTGGAGAGAGAATTCGATCTGTGGGAAATTTTACTTATTTGGAGGGATAGTGTCAAAAGGTCACATTCTTGCTTCTGTGCCCCTATATGGAGTTGTTATTGCCTCTTTAAAAAGCCTTGTGTCTCACTGAGAGAATTTACTAGCTTCTTTAGCCAGTGCAGGAGAACTTCAGTCTGTTCTCCAGGGATCCTGTTAAAACTTGAGCATAGATACATGTCTGACTTGGGATGGGAAAAGCCCTGTGCTGAGCATTGTAGAAATATGCGACAGAGCTCTTTTAGGGAATTTGAGGCATAGAGCTGTAGCTTCATCTAGCTGAAGTTTGCTGGGCATAGTTTTGAAGCAGTTTAGGATGGATAGCACCTTGCTAAACTACAAGGGTTATATGTTGCTGTTTTGAAGGTGAACGTACATAGAATTTTGCCTTCATTTTTTAGATGGAGAAGTGTTTTGTTTGTTCTTGAGGCAGTGAGTGATATTGATGTATGGGATTCAAAACTGAATGCAAATTTGCCTGCAATAAAGTTTGAGTATACATTTGAAATCGGTGAGAGATTGAGATATCCAAACCAGCTAGGTTTGTATTTGATTTACAGTCTTCATGGAGGAGTAGCTTCAGCTGGCAATATAATCAAGAGGCACATGCAATCAGCATATATATGTTACGTAGAATATTTTTGCCAAAGTTTTTTTTTTTAAATTGTGTAATATGAAGTAGCTAACAACGGCTGTACATTCTTTTGTGGCAAGGAGAGCGAGTCTGAACTTCTGAGCATCACATATTCCCTAACAGATTATTGGACTTTAACCCTAGCACGCAGCCAAGAAACACAATCCTCTTACTATTTAGCTGACCTGAAAAAAATGAGCAACTTGTGGTGCATAATTGGGCTGTTACATTACTTGCAAGATACTGTATAGAAACAAGGTAATAGAATGAGTGTACATTTGTGTTTCACTTCTGGGACCTGAGAGAAATGTGGCATGTAAGATTAAACTGTTACATCCAGGAAGCATAAAGCGTAGCAGAAGTTACCACTCATGTATGGACCTTTCATAGTCTGTGTATAAAAGGTTGATTTTTGGCTCAAGGAACGTCTGAAAATAATGGAGATTTCTTTAATCAAGGCCTTGAGGCACACTGCAGCTTAAACCAGGTTGCTCCCAGAGACCCCATCTTCTCTTGTCCTTTTAGACCCCTTTTTAGCTTTGTGTTCTGTCTGTCCACCAAGAGCCAACTTTCAGTTGCACAAAGCCTAGCTTGTCAAAGGCAATCTGGCAGCATTTTAAAGTTTGATGTATGTATGACAACAACAGATAATTGGAAAACTGAGGCATGCTTATCAACCATGTGTCCAGTGCTTTCAGTAGCTTGAACTACTTGTGCTATGCATTTTTGAGGGTCATTAAAAATCACTTGAATTAAGATTTGAGAAGTTGTGAGAGAGAGGCCAATGTAGGTCACAGAGTACAGGGGTTAATTTGGCTATTTATAAACAGTTGATAGAGGAGAAAATGACATCTAGAACTTCAGGCACAATTTCCCATATTAAAATGTGAACAATAATTAATTATTCATTTCCTCTTCCTTGGCTTTTTTTTTTTTTTTTTCTGGCATTGGAATTAAAGTATTAATGAGAAGTTATAATAATACCTGTGCCATTGAAATGAAACAGCCTGAAACAAGTTATGTAGTTTGAACCTGATGTGCTTTGTGTAAAGTTAACTCTATTATTGTTCTTTAAATATTAGGCTAATTCCAAGAAGGCTCTGTGACAGTATCTATACCCAAAGCTCTTTTTTAATGTTATTAATCATGAGCATACATGCATGGGTTTGATGTACAATGCACAAATATAATCTTCCATGTTGTTAAAAGTTGCATTTGCAGAAAAGTGGCCCTTCTATTTTTCTATTTGCTTAGACAGTGAACTGTCTTAAGATTATGTAAAAGCCTTGTGTCTCTTTCTGGAAACTGAATTGTCTGCACTTTTCTGTCTGCTCTTTGCCTTGCCTTTAGGATCTTGTTTCCCGAAAGAGAACGTTTGAAAAAAACAGAACAGTTGATGATGGCAGCAGATGTTGATCCAACTCTGCGTCCTGTTCAGCTCACTATGTCGCACTTTAGAAGTCTGTGCAATGCATACAGGAAAATGTGTGATGAAGACCCAAACCTTTTTGCATACAATTACAGAGAAGAGCTAAGACAGAAGAAGAGGAAGCGTTCCCCTGAAAGTACAAACCAGCTAGAAGAGACTGTAGAGGAAAATCATCTGTAACTGCAGCAGACTGAACTGAGATTTAACTTCTTGATCTAGAGGTGTTGATTTATGTATTCTTACATCTCTTCAGGTATGGAAGAAATAACTTTTGAAAAAATGGTGAAGGAGGCTTTCCTATTTTATTTGTTCAGTTCAGCTGTAGACAAAAGTTTAGGACAGTCCACTTACAATGTGCCTACTGGTTCATCTCGTTTCCAAGGACAGAACACACACCCAGAACAAGGTATGTTGTGAGATACGTAATTAAATGGAAATAATACATTTTGTATGAACGTGAGTGCGTTACTGCAACATAAAAACTCTTTTCATACTTGCAGCATGTAAGATGTTGTCTGAGGTCTTATGCCCTTTTTATCTGGGAAAATCCTCTGTGCAGAGTAATTTAAAAATCAAAAGCCTCATATAAATATACTCAAGTGACTGGCTTATAGGAGGATAAAGTGCACAGATTGCCTCAAGGTCTGCTAATACTCTTTCTCATATATACAAAAGCAAAGAACTTGGGAGTTTAAGAGAACAGCAGCACGATAAAAAGTAGAAAACATAGCTAAGTACAATACTTATTTGTCTTTTACTGTACAGGCTGGTAGAGAAAATAAAAAATACAGTCAAATAAAAGATTACAGGCCAAGCTTTGATTTTATATTTACACATATATATATATAAAGTATAAACAGCATCTTGAAACCTACAAAAATGCAATTTCTGCACTGTTGTGCACTAAAGCACATTCAAATAACTTAATTCTGCTTTAAATAAAGCAAAAATGAAAACCAAAGAAAATAAATGCCCATGGTATTGAAAAATTCATTTTGTTATACTACTTTCCACTGCATTTACTTCTGCCACTCACTAGCACCTTTTCCACATAACTTAACTTAAAATTACTAACAAGGCCACCCTTCCCCTCCCCAAGAATAATACTACATAATCGCAATAAGCGTTTGAAAGGGATGAACTAATTTACAGACCTTGGCAAACTTAATCTATTTTTGATCCACAATAAATTAAAATAACTTAAAAATCCTTTACAGCTGTATTTGTGGAAAAACTGTACTAGTGCTGAAAATCAGATAGTAGTTTTGCTGTGGCTTCCATGAATTTACTGATTTTAAAGCAAAATAAGTTTGTTGAATTTTATGTGGACTTCAAATGAACATTTTGTATAGAGTGCTGCTCAGAAAGCTAGGATTTCCCATGCCTCTCCACAGCTTCATAAAAACAGTCCTCATTAACTACAGATGTTAAGCTCTGGACGCTAAATTCTCTCTCCAAAATAGAGTTCAGGTCCAAGTTTGCAGCATCAGAGTGGCTGTCAAGGGACTGGTGACGTTCCTGCATTGCCATTAAAGTTCCCCTGTTACGCTTTGTGCTGTTTACTTTTCTCTTCACTGGGCAGAAATGGCCACGTATCAGCTTTGGATGTTCTCCCATCTTGAAACCATCTCCTTCCTCCTTTTCTGCAGCTTGATCTCGTTCAGAGTCAGTATTGGGTTCCTCTGAAATCTTCAGCCGTTGGAACTGAATTTCAATGTCTTTAGTAGGGCTGCTCTTCTTTAGGTTCTGATATTCATCATCGTCATCATCACTGAGAATATCAGATTCTTTGACAAGAGCATTAGAAAAGTCAGAGGCACAGCTCTGTACATGCTGATCAGGAGATGAAGTTTTGGGCTCCTGTATGCTCTCAGTGGTGTTGCAGCTGCTGCTCTGGGTGCTGCTGCTCAGGCTGCACTCATCAGAGTCCTGGAAGGTGCCTTTCCCTTGGTCACCGTTCCACTCACTGCTGGGTGAATTCTTCAGTACCTTCAAGGACCTGGTGGAAGCTGTGCAGAAGAAGAAGGCAGTTTTATCTTCTCATCTAAACATCTGGTTATACTGCCTGTCTCAACAACCCACTTCCAGTCACGATGTACATAGCCTCATTCAAGGTCAGGTGTGTCAGCATTCTGATACCAGCAGTGTAATTAAGCATCAGATTTTTCTCTTACCTCCTTCAGAGTTAGATGCTTGCCTTTATGTGCAGGCATATATACCTCAAGTACTAGAGGGCCAAGTTGGAGGCATGAGTTGAACTGTCCCTGATCCTGCCACATAATGAGGATTTTAGTCAACTGAACACATAGAGAACTAGAAATACTAGTAGGAAACTAGTAGATAAAAAGCCTGAAGCCTGTGCTTAATTCATTACCATATGTGCTGGGATGCAGATTAAGAACATGGAGAGAAACAAGAGCCCTGTCTTTTGTTATTTGTTTTAGCTTTGACTGTTAGCAGGGCTCAGACACTAGAGGTAACTCTGAGGAAAGAACACAGTATTCTGCAGGCCAAAGGAAGTCTGTTTCTAACTAACAAAATGGGGCCTTACTAAGTCTACCCTTAAGAAAGCTAATGACAAATCAAACGTGAGAATACAGTGGGAACTAGCAAGCTTGCTTATCTCCTCTAGCCTTTGTCATACGCTGAGTTGTGGAGAAACTGCTGCAACTACTCAGCCTGAAAAAGAAAATGGAATTTGTGGGTCTGGCACACGACACTGTACAGCCACTTTAACAACTGCAAATCATTGCCAGCTCTGGATTCCAGCCTCCATTTTTCACTTTGAGAACCTGTTTCTTACCCAGTTTAGCTGTGGCAGGCACACGGTTCTTGAGTGGGATGAGGCGATCTTTACAGGTTTTCTCCAGAGGCAGCTCACATTTTATGTGACGTCTGAAATTCTCCCGCAAGATAGAACGGATCACCTTCACAATGTTAGTCTTGTTCTCGCAGTCACTGGAAGTTTAACACAACAGATAATCTCATTTTCACATCTAAAGAAAGGCAGCTGAAATCACATTCAACCTCCTGCTTTTTGTTGATGTTTAGCGTGGTGATTTTTTTCAGTCACTTTCCTTAGTAGTAGTTTGGCAGTTAAACATTGTTCTGTGTTGTTAGGTATGTCATACTCTTTTGTGTTTTGAGTTCTTAGTTACTTCCTTTAAAACAGCCTGAAAGATAGGTACCAAAGGATTACCCTTTGAGTGGTGTTATCAAATTAGGGTTAGGCAATTTCTGCTAACCAACCAAGAGTCTGGTAAAAATAGTCTGCCCCTATCATACTGGAATTTATGATACTACACCTGTGCAGATTTTCACTGGATCACTGCATCAAGTTCAAGGCAGTTTCAAACTGTTATGTCTGTTATATCTTATGCAGGTAAATAGTAGCACAGTGCCTAGATTTAAAGACTGGTAACAGCTTTAGAAGTGCTGATATAATGGTCACAGGGTGGAAGGGTCTTCTACTTTTTAAAATTTCATTAATGTATTAATTAATTTCACACATTAATTTCATCCAACTTCCATAAAAAGCTTACCTGCTGCACAACTGAAAAATGGTTTCTGGCCTGCCTTCCAGTTCTGACTTTGTGTGAATCAGTTCCCAGATACAGCTGTTCTCTGTTCCTGTGCATAGAAGATGATGTTATTTTTATATATTTCACAGAACCTTCAGCATTAGAAAGACCCGTGGAGAGCTCCTCTTCTCCTGAAAGCAGTGTCAACACAGGGTGTGGTAGATCCACAGAAGATCTCATCTGAGATAGAACCCAAAAGAAAGTTCCCTGAACTCTCTAGTTCTAGCAGCCTGCAAGGGCTACCTTTGAAAACTCTATGTTCTCTCTTGGAGAGTTGCTTTCCCCTGTTCTTATGCTTCTTAATGCCTTCCAGCCTTAGAAGACCTTCTCCCATTTCCTCTAAGACAGCCTGTGACACTATACAAGGTTCAGAACTGGATAGAATCATAAAAATCAACTCAGAGAAAACAAAGAGGTGGCCCTCTGCTACACCAGTTATACAGTCAGCTTCCCACACCAAGACTCCGCACACAGAAAGGGCATAACCAGGATGTCAGCCAAGGTAAACCCCATCCTGTTCATGGTATCTTTTTACAGGGAATTTTCATTCTGTCATATCTTCATATCACCCTCCATCTTCTTTAACTCAGGGAAGAACAGGGATAAAGCCAGCATATGGAACTGCAAAAGTCTATTTGTGAATGAGGTCTGTGTCCTGTGAGGTCAGACAACAGTAGATAGGACTTTCTCTGTACCTGCCTGTTTCCAGCAGCTCCAGAACTACATACAAAAGAAGCAGTACTGGAGAATCCCAGAAAACTATTCATTCCAGAGTTTTCAGTACAAGGAAATTAATTACCTGCTGCGTTCCCAAGCCGAACTTGAAGAGCAGATAGAGGAATCAGCCAGCGAAACTTAAATGGATCCAAGTCACCATAATTATGGGCAGCACGAACATTACTTGGCTGCAAAAACAAAAGCAAGAAGATATTTCTAAGAAGTGGTTCTTTTTTGCTTCCATTTCAGATCCATAACTGAAGAGAAATTGCAGTTCATTAGACTTTTTCCTTCAACCCCTAATGTGTGCTTGTAGCTGGAATGGTCATAGATAGACACAGCCTTGGAATTTGTAGTTGCTTCAGCTTTTAAAAGCACTTGATTTTAATGGATAAGAGTAATATATATAAGTGCTATTTGGGAACAAACATTCAATGGAGAAATAGTCTAGGGATCATACATTAGCAGAAAACAATCATGTCACTGCTGCTGCTACTACTCCTAAAGCCCTTTGATCTCTTAACGATTTGCAGGTTGCAGTACATTGCCACTGATACTCAGGATATACTCAGGATACTCAGGTTGCTGCTTTAGTATTCCAGTTTTGTAAATGGGGCCAGAGAAAGTTACATTTATACATCCTTTCAAAGTGATCAAGGGTCTATAAACAGAGGTCTTCAATTCTCACAGTGTTAAGGTAGGCTGTCACAAAAGCTATCTGGAAGGAAGTGATTCCTGTATGGCAGTGTTTCATCCCTGACAGAACCAATGTATTGCCGACAGAGAAGATGCTGGAGCTTACTAAACAGCACTAAAAACAAACAAACAAAAAAACAGCTACAACTTATTGTTACGTAAATACTGAATGCTTGTTTTTTCTATGGTAGCTAAAGTTCCAGCCTAGTGAGAGGAGGTGGTATTTTACCACAGCCACTTCCTCTTCAACACCAGTATGATCCATTCTACGCTGCAGCAGGATCCTGCTCATAAACATCCACCACAACTCACACCAGACTTACCATTTTCTTTTTCAGTTTGTAGTTCTCTTTATACACCAGTATTACAGCCCTCTTAAAAACTAAAAAAGAAAAGAAGAAAGAAAGAAGACTCTTAATTGCAGATACAATATTCAGTGAAAATATCCTGAAAAAGCTGAATATTAAAAGTCATGAGACGAGATAAGCAAAGTGATTGGGAAGCATCTACTCTGTATTAAAGTATTGAGTTTTTCATCCCACATATGTTCATGCAGTAGCAATATTTATTCTCAGATCTTCTGATGAACTTTTTAAGGTAAAGCCATTCTGCACGTGCATTATGAAACTACTGGCAGCCTGGCTCTAGCAAGTCTTCACACAAACATATAAAGCTGATGCAGTTTAGACATTAAGGATTCAGGTTTTCTTTTGGATGGATGCCTTCATGTGGAGTGAAATGCCAGTACTAAGAGAGAACTGTGAAAAAGGATGATAAGTCTTCCTGCAGGCCAGCTTTTGTTCAGTTGGAAACAAACATTCATCTCAATTCCTACTTCTGCATCTGAAGGAATTATCTGTCTTCCACAGCATCTGAGTGGAGCGGCTCACTAATGGTATCTAATCTCTCAGCTTCCAGTGAGGCAGTGACATGTTCTCTCTAATCAACAAGGAGAGATTAGAAAACCAGGGACATTGAAGGTGCATCTGGACTATGGGATAGCAGTCCTGGATCCCAGACTGGATGACAGTGGTATAGCTCTATTCTTACTTATGCATCCACATTTCCTTCCAGTGGAAGAGAGGGGCAGTGATATGCAGTAGGCTGTCATGCCTTCATGGAGCCAGGATGCAGACACAGTGAGCACAACATTTAGTCTAGAGTTGGGCATAAATTCCTTTAGTTTCACATATTAAATAAGTGCACTTTTCAAGCTGCAGTAGACTAAAGTGGGAATAAAACCAGGTTTCCCAGGTGGCAGACAGTCTAAGCTACGTATCAGGCCAGAGTCCCTTCATTTATTTATACACACCCTGTTGAGAACTCCCACTTACTGGGCTTGAGTGACTGGCATGTGTGGATCACTGAGAGCTCATCCAAGTGAACATGTGGAAGCAGTTCACACTTCTTCTGTTTAGAAGCACTCTCTCCCCTTATCTGTCATGCTTGGAAACTTAGGAAAGCTTGTCTCATGAACCTGGAGTTGTTCTCTGGGTCCAAAGACATTTTAAATAGATGTTTTTTAAATAAATAGACAAGTGCCTAATATGTTTCAGTGGAACCTTTTGATTAGTAAGATAGTAAATGATTAATAGTACTTATACTGTTCAGTAAAACTCTTGGTTCCATGCACTGATTTTCACTTACATGTTTCAGGTTAAAATAGTCTGAACAAGGACTGGCAGACAACACATTTTGATGTAACAGTTGTAAAACAGGTTTTCCTGTATTCCCAGGAGTGAAATAAATCACCATTTTCCTACCAGCCTTATTTGAAAGACTTATTTATCATATTATTTTAGAGAGAATGTTGTTGCTTGAAAATCATTGATTTCCATACTTGACACACAGAGTAGATGAGGTTGGCTCACAGAACAGACAGTAGCAGCAAGCAAATTAAATAGAAATGTTTCTCTTGTATTAGGAAATGTAATAGTTTTGCATATGCTTTCAGATGCATGTCTACATTAAGTAACCCATGGTTACAGGGAAAGGAGATAGTGGCTTTAAAAATGTGGAAAATTTTAATTTCTTCATGTTTAGATCTGAAAGAGCAGAGTCATGAAGGAAGACACTTACCAAACACTGTAAGTTCAAGGTCTTTTCTTGCTTTGCCCAGTGATGGGAAAGGATTTAGCCAGGAAACTGTAGAGTGCATCAGAAGTTCTCCCATGGAAAGTTCAGTCACCTGGATTAAATTAAACAATAATCAATTAACAACAGACAAAAATACAAGCAATATACATCAATGCCATGATACAAAGGTGGGAGTAAATATTAAAATGAGTACACGTTGATAGCATTGATTCTATGATTTCTGTATTTACTGAATGTACTCAGTGAGCAAGACAGGGAGCTCTGTACAAAGGCAGGAAAGTGTGAGTAGTCCCCCTAGGTTGCTCTGAATACATCCTATTTATTTCCATGGAAACTACAACAGATACAAAAAGCACAGTAACACAGATTTGTTAGAGCAAATTCTCAACTACCAAAAACTTGTTTCAACAGTCAGCGGATTCACTTGAGATGAGATAATAAATATGTTCTTCATTTTGTGGTGTGACAGATGTGCACAACTGTCTGGAATGTGGCTTATCTTTCACACTGCTGTCACCACTGCTGAAACACACCACCCACCTCCTTACTGTGCTCACATCACTGTTTGTCTCTATCAGTGTTGAGTGAGCATCAATGAATGTCAGTTGGGTGCAATGTTTTGTTCAGAGGAATTCAGTGACACACCTTTGCTTCAACTGCACTTCAGTGTTGGATCCCATTTGTCAGACTGCCCCTCTGCTGCCATCTGTCAGATGGCAACAAAAAGAACAAAATACTGGTGAGAAGGGTCAGCCCGTACAGCCATACCATCAACATCTGCTTCTGACGTTGGGAGACAACAGAATAAAATAGGAGGCATTACTTTCAGAGCAGCCTTTGTAAAACAGATAATAACCGTAAAGTAACAGCATCTAAGTTATGGATGCTGGATAGAAGTTCTTACTATTAGCTATATATCTTTCTATTGCTTATAGGAGTAAGCTGACATGATGATCTGTCTACGTATAGCCAGTTGTGAACTGGCTGATTTATTAGAGGTAAATGCCTTTATAGAGTAATTAGTATTTATGACACTGCCAATGGCAGAATTAATGCAGGTCTTGCTCTCCAAGGCTCTTCTTTCTTCACTTGACAGTGTATCTCAGGCTGTCAAGTTTGTTACCTAGAAATGATGAGAAACTAAATTGCCAGTGGAGGTGATTTGGCTTTAAATATAAGGAAATATAACAACTGACTTGGCATCTTCATATTCTCTACCTCTACTGATTGTGTCTGCTTCGTAATTGTTCGATGTAAATGCCTAAGTTGAGACATTGCTGCCCCAGTTCTGTGAGATGTGTGCACACAGTTCACTCAGCTAATGCTTTTGCTCTCTCAGATACCCATGGATGCCTCAGCCCTAGAAGTGTAGAGAATGAGAATAACAGACATTAATGTGAAATCCCTAGAATTGCCACTTTCATTTATATGGGTGAAAAAAAAAATCTTAAGAACTCTGAAGCATAAAATCTGAATGCCTTTGGGCATGGATAATCTCTGCAGCACTTGAGAAGAGGAAGATGTCTTTATTTTTTCCTACTGAGAATTAATGTCTACGCCTGCTTGCAATTCTTGTCAGTCCAGAAGGCTGTCTGAAAATTTTTACTGTAACCTACTGACAAAAAGAAGTTTCACAGGCAGATATGAAATGGAAGTCAAAATATTAAAGGCGAATGAAGGACGCCCAGCACAAACAAGTTCCCAGAATTACTTCAGGAAGAGATAAAGACCCCCAACACCTAGAAGGATAATGCTTCAGGACTGAATAAAATACTTTGTTCCTTCTCTTACCTCCTTCTCTGTTCCACTTTGATCTGCAACCAGTTGATCAAATACAGTGCCGTAATCTTCATAAATCTTCTGCATCTCATTGATGTGACTTGCTACTTTTTCCATTGCCTTCAGCGCTTCTGTAAGGTTTAAAAAATTCATCCACAGCTATGTAATTCAATTGTATTTTCTAACCGTGACATTTTGTATAGAATTCTACTTGAGGCAGCCAAAACCAAGCATTCCCAAAGTTTGTTGATCAGAATTCTAGCTTTCGATCCTTGCTTCTCATAGCAGCTGCAGAAAACGTGCTTCCTGATCAAAGTGAAAAATGTTTATCTGATCTCTTGAGCGCCTGAACAAATAGCAGTAAGTGTTCTAGTGATGAATATTCATGAATTTGGAGTTCGTAACAGCATGACAGGAAACACAGTTAGGTTTTTCATCTAGTATACATGGAGCCACTAGGCTATCCAGAGTCATAAACACCCATACTAGAATAAATAATTTAATAATTTAATGAACTTTAATGGAAAATAATTGAATTTGGCTCATCACAAAATACATAAATAAATACATTGCTAGGTTGCACAAATTCATCAGTGGTTGTTATCTATGAAATAAAATGCTGGTAGTCAGGTTTTATTTAAATTTTGTTTTCTGGACAAAGAATTACACTAGATAGCATTACTTTATTGTTAATCCACAAAGGATTGGATAAGGGCACTTAATTACCCTAGTTCTTCCAGCTCTTAATGGTGTAGTCTTTTAGCAGTTTGGCATTCACCCTTGACCTACAAGCAAGCCATCCTCAACCTGATTGTAATGGCAAAATATAGTATTAGAATCTCCCTTTGAAGTCGATAACATTCTCATGACTTTTTGCTGACAGTGTATTTGGCCTGAATCTATTTTGTTAAAATGAAATTCATCTCTGGACTTTGATCCTTAAGGTGCTGACAGACATGAACTGAAATTCCTCAGGGTGAAGTCCCAAGCATCTGAGCCTAGAAAAAGAATCTAATATATATATTAGGACAGCCATGAATTTGTGTGTGTGAAGACTGTGAACTTTGACACAGAACTCTTCCACACAAGCAAGAATCACAGCCAAGCCTCAAACAACTAAAACTGTCTTCTGCAATGCTATTAAAATTTGACGTGTTTCAAGAACTAATAATAACCACAAGTTATTTCCAAGTGGAAAAACAACACAATGAGCTCCTGTCATAAGGATTAAGGAGAAAGACCCAGTCCTGTTTGTCATGACAAATTCTGACTGTATCTAATTTCTCAAAGGGACTTGGACATGCTAACTGGGATTTTTCGCTAAAAGCACAATAAAACTACTTACTGTTTTTAATGAGAGAGAGAGAATTCTCTCTAAGTTTTGACAAGTTCTGTGCTGTCCAGTGGAATGGCTACCTGCATCTTTAGAAAAGGCTGGAAACCAAACTTAACTCACATTGATTCCTGCAGAAGAATCCAAGAAGTTACCTGTCAAATGATAGTGCTCCTCACTCTCGTTGTCTGTCAGAGACACCAGCTCTTTCAAAAGCAGTGGATATTTCAGCACTCTCTGAACAGGCTTTATGAGATATGACTCCAGCGTAGAGGAGTGTTGCTTTGTAGGATTGCGGGCATCCAGGAAGGCCTTAAAGGCACTGTCTGTTTTGGCTAAATATGAATGGACGGGTCGGTCAGTTGAATGTGGAACTCATAGTGTGAATGCACAGAATTGCAACTCGTAACCAGCATCAAGTACCCCTCCTTTTTCAGTAGATGCTTTACACTCTTCATTTCATTGTCATTTCATGCACTAAATAATGTACAGAAGGGCTAAGAGAGCAATCATCTAAAGGTGACATTATTCCTCTGCACTGCAGGCCTCTTCTGCATCAAATTAAAGAAGTGATAGCGGAAGTAATTCCTCACTTCTCAGCCATTCATTGCAGCTTTGATTGACATCCATCATTTAACATGCAAGCATATGCAAACCAAATATAGCAGCAGCTTCTGGAGTATGAACTAAATCTGCAGACAGCACAAACCTGTGGCAGATGTTTCTGATGCTATTCAGGCTACCGCTTAGTTGTCACAAAAGAAATCTCATCCCTTCAGTTCTATACAGTACTGTAGCAGAACTGCAGATCTCAGCTATTTCTATTGAAAGATATCCTATTAGTCCTTCCTTTGTACCGATATTTGCTGCAGGTCAGAGTTTGTTACAGTGTTTCACTGAGGTTTAAAGTCATGCAAATGAATTGTAGTAACGAAGACAATGAATTACCTCTCTCAAGAACTTTCTGAACTTTGATGTGATTGGCACAAAAGCCACTGTACAGTTTAAAGTGATCAGCATAATACAGAAACGATCCTCCCAGGGAAAACAGCAGTTTCTGAAATCAACACAATCAAAATATTTACTTTATTACCAGAACTCCAAATAAACATTCAGGTACATAACACATAGACTCAGTGGTGTGAGCATCTGCTGCCTTTCTATATATATCCTAGAGTATACGTATACGAATATATGTATGTGTGTGTATATATACACATATATAGAATACATGTATGTGTGTGTATATAAAATAAATATATATAACAATTATATTACATGGATACATTATTCGTAGTAGTTCATGATGCTTCTTTGTTTCAGTAGACTTCAGAAAGGCAAAGCCTGCAGTTTTTCTCAGTTCTCCCTGAGCAAACACCGCTACTGTAGGCATTGTCTTACTTTATCTTAGAGACAGGACAGGAACAAAAAACTATAGGCATGTAGCAGGTACGCTGTGCTGGTAAAACACACGAGCACTTGGAAGCAGGGCATGAAAGTGCCAAAACCAGAAGAGAGTGTAAAACAAAGACAGGGTTGCTTTCCAACTGTTTTCCTTCTTTCAGGCAGGTGATAATTACAGAGCACCTCTGCTTTCTCTGGATGAAGAGGAGGATGGGAAGATGTAGGAGGGACTGAGTCATGAGGAAGATCTTTTTAGAGAAATGCTTCTCACAGCAATGATAAGAAAGACAAGTAGTGATGGAAGAGGAGGTGAAGGGGGAGGAGGAGAAAGAGAGCAACCTTCTCTCATATTTTTGATTAGTGTTTGCTTCACAAAAACCAAGGGTCAAGCAGACCTGCAAGCAGTCTCTCCTAGCTTTGTGACAGTGCCAACATCTCTGGGGAATCTTCTTCCTCAATTATGTCAAGTACTGAGTGATGCCACTGGGAAGATGACAGCACAGCGAGGGCACAATCGACAGTCATCTACACTTTGTAGATGTGACTCTGTTAGACCTCACATCATGAGAAGCTCATACTGCATTTAAAAGGAAAAGCTCCCAGTCTGCAGCAGGTGAACAGGGCATAGCAGGGAGTCCAAGGCAGGGCGGAATTCAGCATAGCAACAATAACCTTTCTACAGAAGTTACACTTTGTGTAAGCAGTGCTACTTCATAGCATACTTGAAGTCTACTCTGCATTGTCTGTCTTACATCCTTTGCCATGGGAAAGAGGAAAGACCACGGAAAATAGCACTCATCGTCCACTGCTGATAGGTTCAAACATAAAAGCAACCATATGAAACAGAATTTTAAAGCCAGATGTCGACAAATATTTCCTGGCAAATTTTAAGTTATTAAATAACCACATATTTACCCGGAACTGAGATGGTGTCTGCAGTGTATTAAAATCTGAGGAAGAAGATATTCCATCTTCAAGGGTCTCCAAAAACACCTTCTGAAAATCCAGCATTTCTGGCAGACTGCCGAACAAGGACTCCATCTGTGAAAAAACATTAGTCTATGACATACAGCACTCCATACAGCTACCTTTGGTCTTGAGAAAATAGTCCACTAAGGAGATACAACACACCAAAAGAGGTTGCAAAGACCAGTAACATATTCATTAATATTTTTCAAATGCATTGTATTAAAAGGTCATTATAAAAAAAGCAGAGATTTCTTAGCAGTTAAATCAGAAGTACAACTACCATTTTTAAAAAGTGAGGGATGTGTGAACCACAAAGACACATACAGGTGTAAATCCTATTGTTATATTCATAGTTTTGCTTTTCTGTAGTGCTCTAAGTAGTGAAAAACAAACAAACAAAAAATAACCACAAGGTCTTAACTCACGAAAGAATGGAAAGAATATCTTTCAGTAATTCCCTCACCTCATCTTGTGTAAGGAAGGTTTCATTTTGGAGAGGCTCCAAGTATAGCTCAAAGAGGCAACTCAAATCCTGAAAGAAACAGAATTTATTCACTTTTTATGTAACTGTTTGAATTTGTCCTTTATATAACAACTGTGGGAATACAGGTAATTTAAGGAATAAGTTAGAAATACCATTCCAGTCCTGTAACAAAGTCACCCATGTGTTGTTAGCACTAAAGTGATGGCTAAATTAAAAGCAAATAAATTTCAATGTAATGTTTCTGTTTCATCTTTCAGGATTTACAGCTTTACTATTACAAATTATATTTGAGTGTAGCATGAGGAGGAAACATTACATATGATGGCTTTCTGAAGATCTGTGTATGTGAGCAGTATCAAATATTTTAATCATGCATGTTAGATAAACCATATAAATAGTCACTCATTTAAACATCAACAATAAAATTTGTCAGGACGTGTGACATTTTAAAATCCTATTTGGTATTAAAGCATTCAGTTATATTGTCAAGTAGTGTGATTAGGCACTTTTTCAGTCACTTCTTCAAAGAATTGGTGCCACTTTTGAAGACTTACTATCCCACACCAAAGCATGACAACAGGGTTGGGGCCCACGCTGCAGGGCTCTGTGACCCTGAGGAAAGAAATGGCAGAAATTCTTCTGGAGAAGGAATAATCAGCATTTCTGTGAGAATCCCCATGACGAGCATTTACAACCATCCAGGAATTTTGCCTGGTGTTACCCATATTACAGTGAACTCCATGATCTCCTTTGTTCAAGTGATTTCTCCATAAGAAACACCAGCTGGACATACACAAGGGTTCATGTTCTGTAAATCTTCCTCAAGCTTTACAGTGTATGGTTGTATTAGTGTATGGATGGATATGTTAGAAATGAGAAACTGGAAGTTTCTCTCCTTTCTCACACATTACTGCAATTGAGTACTGATATCAGCAAGTATGAGTTTCGAGATAAGTAAAATAGATGATTCCTCCTTGCTGAACATCAATGAAATCAAGCTTTTCACATATCTTTTGGCATTCATTCACATGAATTCTGTGGAGAGATTCTCTCCTAAGGGAGGAGGCATATCCAATAAATCATGGGCTTATCAGTCAGAAGAGAATAAACGTATGTATGATGTTAGAACCAACTGGAGTTGCACCATTTAGCTTTGCTGATTCAAAAATAATAACGCACTATTCCTGACAATTAAACTTCTTTAGAATTTGTAGGAGATTGTTCCATTCTAACAGGGTTTTATTTATTTATTTATTTCATTTTGAAAACTATGAAACATCCCCTGGAATACTCTAGTGTTAAAACTTTGCATATGGCTACTCCCTGCTAATTACTTCTTTCAAATCTAAACACAAATTGACCAGAACTGAAGTGACCAAGTCAAATCCTACACCAAATATTACAACCTACTGAAAAAAAAAACAAAATCAAAAAGGCAACAGGAACAATTACATAAGCAGACTCTATGTTATGACACTGGTTATATAAAGATAAGCACGAATATATTAAGAACACCTACAAGTCATGGTCAGCTTTAAAAAGAAGGCTGTACTTAGCCAGACTTTATTACCTTGACATAAGATTTCTCAGTATCCATAAGTTCTTGGATGACTTTCCTCAGTCTGTCTGCATCAGAAAGGTGGCGAGCCAGTGGTCGTGGAGGCAGATCCTGGTTGTCCTTCTGCCCTTCCATGCTGCTCGTCTGGACCTCTTGGAAGTTCCGGCACAATGCACTGATCTGTTCTGCGCTCTGTGAAACGGAAAGAGACAAGTGCTGATGTTCTAAAATACAAACTGTACTACAACTATTTTTAAATTCCTCAAATTTTGCTTTTCTTCCAAATTCACAAGCCAGCATGGGCTTATTTTTGACATATACTTATCCTGGATAGCTCAGAACAGCTTGAATTCGTAACAGATCTGGATCACAACAGTAACATTAACTGAAAAATGTCTTGTGTTTTTGCAGTGTAAATCACTTTAAGTCATCAGATACACACTTATGAGATGCAAAAGATGGGAGAGCACACATAAGTCATGCGATTTGGTTCTTATGATGCCAGCATCACACTGGTGGTTTTTTTTTTTTTCAACAGTTACAGCATCAAAATAGAAAAAAATAGTAGATAAAAATCTTATAAGCATTCTGAGTCTCTGGATGACCATCACTTGCACCTGAGAGCAGCTTATGCAGGCAATAATGTTTAATGGTTAGTATGAAAATCATTTCAATATTCTTTTCAATATATAACATTTTCCTGAAAACTAGAATATTGCTACCATGACCTAGCTATACATTAGCACCTGTTGATATCCACTTTTTTGTACCATGTGAAACAATTTCTCAGCATTTCTCTCACGCTCTCCCAGAGATACTGGAAGTCACATATGCTGTGCCACACATTATCCTGCAGTTAGCAAATGTATTCAAATGAAGACTAGATGAATGCTGCCTTATTTCAAATGGAAGAGAACGGAACTCAAGTACATTTCAGAACTGCCTTGATGTGCACTGATTTAGTCCAAAAGCTGTTTCAAGCAGGCTGCTGGGTCTCTTGATTCACTGACTATGCGTACAGCTGGGTTCACCAACGTACTGTGTCATCATATGGGCAAACACAGAACTTATTCTGAAACGGAACTGAGCTATACTAAACCCCTCCGTAAGGTAGAGACTGAGTGTACCAGCAATATTAAACCTCCACCATTCATGTGAGAAAACACAGGTACATCCCACACATCTCTATGATGGAAATAAATATTAAAATGCCAAAAACGTGCCACATAGTCCATATCGCTTGGTAGCTTCCCAACCCTCCAGTTTGGAATAATGTTACCACCTCTAAAGAGAGTTAAGTGATTCTCATCACTAAGATGTGCAACTATCTTCCACAATCCTGTGTAATGACAGTTTTCAGGACTCTGAAATTTACATCTATACTGTATTTAGAGCATTCATTAGGACCTAACAAAATGCAGCGTGAGCATTTGTGGTGCTTGGTAGAAATGCAGCTACATACTGATGGAATACATTAAAGAAATCACAGTACTCTGTACCACTAAAAATAATTCATGTATTGGAAATAAATCATGACTTCATTTAGGGAAATAGGAGGGTATTTAAAAGCAACTTCTAAATAGCTCAATTCCGCAGTACTTGAATTTATATCTTCGTTTCTGTTGTCGGAAAGTTTTGTATTTGTATCAGAATGACTCAGATTTTACACTCTCTGCAGTTCAAGGCGTGTGTGGGCAGCTTGATTTACATCAACATGATGCCAGATCAAGGATACTAGATCAAGGATTCAGGATGGCCTATTCAAAGGGAGCCATAAACGGCATCGTCAAGCACAATTTTACAAGTCACCATAGCACAAAGTGGTAGGACAGGCAGATGCTGGAGAACTCACCACATGTTCTCTTATCCTGCTCAGTTTTGGGGCTAGAGCTGCATCTAAGAATCATTGGATAAGAAAGTAAAAGGAAATAGATGACACTCCTCAATATAAACAACATTTGAAAAACAAAGCAACATGACTTTGGTATCAGAAATCATTCTGTACAACTTCATAGTAGCGAACAAATGGAAAGGAATAAAAACAATTCTTGCTCTCTGTTCCTTTCCAAAAGTCCCTTATCACATTGGTTGGGTCTCACATCCTTTTCTCTGTACCTCTGTAGATGCTTGTTTTCACTCCCCACTCAAAACAATGTCCTGCTCTTTATTGTTATTGCTCTTTAAAATAGATATTTCTAGGAAGGCTCTGAGGACAATCCCTAAGAGCACATCTTTTAGATCAGATGGGTTTGCAGGAAGGGCTCAGATTCTGCCCTATTACCTTACAGGATCTTGAACTAGGAAGCCTCAAAAGAGCCCCAGGTTGGTACTACATCCACCTTAACAACAGAATAACCCAGAATTTGCTCTGAAAATTATACTGCAACACCTAACGCTGGCTGATTTGACTTTCAGATCCATCTGGTAAACTCCTCAAGTGCACAGGTTTCTTGTATTTGCACATGACCATGACTGTCAGTCCTTAGTAAAATTTACTTAGGTAAAACTTTGTAGCACACAACTTGTTGGAATAAAATCATTTTAACTGGTGAAAAGAAGGTTTTTGACTGTGGCCAAGGCTGCAAAGTAGCTGGTTACAGAGAAGAGCTGAGGAGAGCATGTAGTGGAAGCAAAGGACTTTCTTCATAGTCCATCACTTTAGCTGACATGTGATACATTCAGCAGCATTTATAGACGGCAAGCAGCTTTGGCTTACCTTTGGCACTGGACAGAAACTTAAGACTGCCAGTGCTGAATTTGAATGGCAGACTTGGGAAAGAGAACTAGAAGTTATGCAGGGTTTGTGGAAAAACAAGTACTTGCATTCTAGGGAGAATCTAGTGAAGCTGTTCTGTTCTACTGGCCCCTTTTACAGATTTTCCAGCAAAGCAGTATAACCTTTCTACCAGACCTAGCAGCTGGAAGAGCAGGCTCTCTTGGAAGGATGTGTAGAAGCTGTCTTGAGAAACTTTGTTTCTTTTTATCCTTGCACCTGTGTTCCATATTTCAGCCCCATATATTTTAGCTTGGAGTATTCCTTATTAATGAGCATCGTTCACAGCAACTTTAGAAGGGAAACTTCTAATTCTTTAATTGTCAAACTTCACCCATAGCTGCCAACAACCACAGTGGTGCTCACAGCTTGTAAGATGAAGATGAAGCACATCCTATTTTTAATAATATTCTCAAAAAGAAATATTAAGGATTTTTCCTTCGAAGTGAACAAAAGATATGCCTACAAAGACTGTCTTACAGATTTTCTTTGGTCCTTGCAGACAAGCATATCATCATCTGAGGCTGTGCTATCCCTACCAGAGTTAAAATCTCCATAAAATTAATTTGTAAGAGGGGAGAAGACATTAATCAGGACTGGTTAAGCATTAGCACAACAATTTCATGGCTACTGTGTGACTTTCATTGAATGATACTGATTGAGCATAAATGCTGCACAAGGTCAATTATAGAGTCTCTGCTCACTGCTGTTTCTCTTAGTCTCATTTATACACCTGACAGATCAGTAGGGTTTGGTGTGTTGGTTCACTGCAGTTTAGTGTAGGTTGTGGCTTGGAGTGTTTTTGTTGCTTACATATATATATATATATATATATATATATATATATATATATATTTTTTTTTTTTTTTTTTTTTTTTTTTTTTTTTTTTTTTTTTTTTTTAAGTGATGAAAAGGAAAATTTAAGTAGGCTTATAAAAATCTTCAAGCTTAGGAAGATTCCTTAGGAAGTTTACAGCAACACGCGTCCTTTGACTAGCTTCCAGATTCCTGTACCCTTGTGGAGAACACTGGCCACACCTACACAGAGGTCACTAACCCTTTGAGTTCATTATCCATGGGAACGAACACACACAGAAAGCCTGCTGCAGGAACAGATCAGTCTTACAAGCTTTTAAAAATGAGAAGCTAACAGCTCAGTGCTGTCTGATGTATTTTTTTCAGGAAGTAAACTGAATGCACCAGACAGCAAAAGAAACACAATTACAGGGGATTTTGAGAAAGAGCAACCAGCCAAAGACATTTTTATATCTCTTACTTTCTGAAAAAGGAAAGCCTTGGAAGTGTCCATCACTTTCCTTTTATATCAGAATATTCTCCAGAATAAAGACAGGCCTAGCATCCAGCCTGTTTTGTGCAGCTATCATTCCACAGACTTCTCTAGTCTGGGCAGTACTTTGTAACCAAGCAATGTAAAAAGCTAGAAATTAAGTCTTAGTAGTCCTAAAATTTGCTGAAAAAAAAAACAGTACAGTACATGTACTTCTCTAAACTAAGACCAAAAAACAAAAAACACAGCTCAGTTTTGCTGAAAATTGCTTTGTGGGATTTCCATCAGTATGTTTCTGGGAAAGGCTGCGGTTCAGCTTTGGGCAATAGAAGCTGGATAGATTCAGTCATCACAACTTACTTTTTGGTCCTTTTTTTCATAACCTCAACACCAACTACTCTTGATGGACACCAATGAAATTCTGACAGTCTATTTTGTTTATCTGTGTTTCTTGCACGTCTTTTAATTACAACACTAAAAAAGGATAAATTGTCTTTCAGTCAGAAATTCAATTTCAGTGAGATTTATATGAACAGTTAGCCTGTTCTGGCAATGCAAGGAGTTATTAACAAACTTATGTAGAAATCAGAAATGCAGTTGGAAGAGGGCTTGATGTTCAGATAAAGAGTTCCTGTCAGGACCATGTGGCTCCTAAGATGCAATCCATTTGACCTGGTGCCTAAGCTATCAACAGGAATCACGTGGTGGGAAGTCTTTGCTCTCTCTTGCTCATCTTTCTCTTTGGATATACAGGAAGACTCTCTGGTGCCTTAAGTATTCATTGGCAGTGCTAGTTATAAACCAACTCATGCAGAAGGGATCTGGGCCCAAGAGTCTGCAGCAACCAGATCCCAAGGACCAGAAGCTCCCATTGAGCAGGAAATCAGTCACTAAAGTCATCTGATCCAATGCATATCATAGCCAAATGCAAAACAGAAGTCATTTCCATCATGGAAGGTTAAATCCTAACCACTCAAAATACAAAGATGTGTGTGTGGGGTGGGGAGTGAATCATTAAAAAGAACAAAGGGAGAGGAGCTCCGATGCCCACCTCACTAAAAGGAGACTCTTGACAAGTAACATCAAAGCACAAAATGCAGATTTTCTCAGAATATGACTCTATGAAAATAT